TTCTCTTCCTTTCCTTTCCCTTCTTTTATTTCCTTTCCTTTCCTCTCTTTTTCTTTCCTTCCTTCTTTCCTTTCCCTTCTCTTCCTTTCCTTTCCCTTCTCATTTCCTTTCCTTTCCCCTCTTTCCCTTCCGCTTCCCTTCACTATTTCCTTCCCTCCCCTCTTTCCTTTCCCTTCTCTTATTTCCTTTCCTTTCCCCTCCTTCCCTTCCCCTTCCCTTCTCTATTCCCTTTCCTCTCCCCTCCCCTTCATCCATATTTCTTCTCACATTCAGTGTCCAGGACACATGCAATATCCATACATCTTCATGGAAACATCTGCTGTGTACATCTAGGGCCATAGAGGAAGATATTTTTCCCCCCAAACGAATCACTTGTGCATAGCTGTCTGCACCTATGTGCAAATAGGAACATGTTTTATATGCACACTTTATTAATGCGTCTGAGTTGGCATGTTTTGTGTCAGGTTGGGAAGAACCCTCTGCCACTCCTCGGGTTCAGATCTTTTGAGGGGAAGGGAGAACAACTGCGCAAATCCTTTTCGGAATTTTATTGCAATTATAGGCCCACATTTCAGGAGTAAAATAGCCTGGATTTGTTTCTGTTTCCTTCCCTTTTTTCTCTCTCCGAGGACAAGAGAAAGAAGGGGAGGAGAGGGAGGAAAGAACTGAACTCAAGTGTTCTTTTCATCTTCAAACAGTGGTAGCACAAATACTTTCTGCATGCAGTTTACACATTGGCGGAAAACTACTTGGAAGCCCAAATCGAGTTTAGATCACAGAAAGCTCCATCTTACTTAAACACTTCGCAGCAAAACCGGAAATTTAAAATCCCTTCGTTTATTTGCTATCTTTATTTATGTTCTTCTCTGTCCAAAAAAAAAAAAAAAAAAAGGCCCCACCTGAAAGGGGAAAAGAAGAGACCCCTTCTGTTTTTTGGGGGGGGCTCAATTCTTGCTGAATTACCAAGAAATTGATGCTACATTTTACTGCCGGGACATTTTATTCCACCTCCCCCAGTCCAGTTGAATCGTCTTTCCATCTTTTAATTCTCCTCAGGAGGGACAAAGGTATTCTTTTCTTTTAAAAGAGGATGGGGGGGGGGGGAAGCAGTAATAATCCGACGAACCATCCTAACAATAGAGCCTTGTTCTGTTTTAGTTCGTTCAGGCTTGAGAATAAGGAAATTATTTCCTTTTACGGTTGTTGTTTTTTTAAAGTTCCTTCATTTCCAATTCGGCTTAAAATAGAAAACCCGGACGCTGTGCTGCAGCCAGCCAAAACATTGTAAAGGATCTCCCCCGCCGCCTCGCCCAATTGGTTGTGTGTTTGTGTGTTGTTGTTTTGTGTGTGTGTATGAGAGAGAGAGGGGGGGTTTAAATCCCCCCATCCCACCGACCCTTTATCATACCATTAAACCGGCTATCTGTGGGAAAAGCAGCGCCGCAGAGATTTCTTTCCGACGCTGCACACTTGCACACACACGTATTTATACCTATGCCCGTGCGCGCGCGCGCGCGTGCGTTGTAGTGTTATCCTGCCCATATGCAGGAAAGGATGTTGGGGTCTTTTATTAAATCCAGATGAGTTCCCAGGCTTGGCCATAAGGAAAGCATTTGAAATCACACCGCGTGGAGGAACTGAAAAAAAAAACCAAAAAAACGGAGCCGGGCCCCTCTTTCTCTCTTTCTGCGTCGCAGGTGTGTTGTAAATATACAAGCTTTGCTTCAGGAAATGAGACCACTCGGGCGCCTTTCGCCCTGTTTCCTCCGACCATCCTTCCCGCAGCCCTCACCCCTCTTCCAAGTGGGCGAAACAAATCCCCTCCTCCCCACCGATTCTCACGCGTCCGTGTCAAAGGAAGTGCCCCAGATCCCCGCCACAGTTTGAACCCGTGGCGGCTTTGCAAGGAGTTGTTCGGGCCGGCAGTTGTTCGGGACTGGTCCTCCCATCCCGGGTTGGGCCTTCTCCTTCGGGGTGGGGGGAATAATCTCAGGGGGATCCGCCGTTTAGGTCGGCACCGGCTTGGAGAGCTCCAATCGACCCCCCGTTTCGGGATTCCTCGCCTCGGAAGAAGCGCAGTGGTGCCTCTCGGAAGGCCGAGGGGTTTCGAGAGCGGTGGCCCAAATTAAGGGGACTGGGGTGTGTGGGTGTGTGGGTGTGTTGAAGCTTGGTTTGAACTCGAGGGCTTTGGGGTCAGGCGGGGGCGGGCGTCGGAAGGCCTTGCCCGAATCAACACACCTCCCAGGGAGACTCAGTTGAATCATTCCGGCGTTCAGCCGCCAAGCGGGACAGCCCCGTGTCCACACCCAACGAGGTCTCTTGGGGCGGGGGAGGGGGGGGGGAGAGGAAGGGATGGCTGGATTAGCAAGGT